CAATAGCTTTTCATGCAATCATAATCGATTGCAATAATAAGCAACACAATGATCTAGGACACTGATTATTTTCATGCCGCCGGGAAATTTACCGAATAGTCTTCCGTTTGTTCCTGACGGAACAGTAAGTTCTTGTATCAGGAAGGAGGGGGTAACGGCGGTTTGCCAGATCATCCAAAGGGGTAAAGAAGCACTCGAACTTGGGAACCACTGATGTATAACGTGATTGGAAATTATGTTAAAAATTTGATGATTTTCTTTGAGAGGAAACGGCAATTGATCATTAATGTTGATTTAACATGATTGAACACAAAGAATTTCACCTGCAATGAAAATAAGAATCGAGAAGAACCATATCGAGAAAACAACACATCTTAGGTATCGTCCTTCATTGAGAAATGCCAACACTCTAAAATTGATAAACCATTGAAACAATTCCAACAGTTTATGTCTACAACTGGATTATCGACCAGTTGTGGAACCTGCATTCATGTGCGAATCTGATTCTTGGTTGCTTTTCATATGAGAAAGTAAAAATATAAAATTAAATTGGTATTGAAATTCAATGAAATCAAGCGGAATTTTCATTTAATTGTTTTTTTCACTTCGAAATTTCATTTCAAATTGCATTTCAACGAAATAAAACGGAATTTCATTTCATTGCTTCGTGATGGTAAATGAGAAATTGGGACTTTATTTACAGAACACGAATTGAAAAAGTGAAGTTTTAAAATATTGCCTACCTACTGATAGCCGTAGGGCTACTTTTCAGCATTTTGATAGCGAAGAACAACTGTATGGTTGCGATAAAGAACGCGCACATCGAAGACGTTATCGAGATGAGCGATATGGAGCTCGACGCTTCCCATATGAAACGTTTCAGAGAATCTCGCGAGAGCGTATATACAAATGATTTCTCGTGCATTCCAACATTCGAGTGAATGCTCAGTAGAATTTGAATCGCCAAAAATGCAAACAGAATCGAACCAATCGACATCAGAGTAAGAAGCAACAAAGAGAGCTTCACCTGAAGTTAGTATANAAAATCCAATTTGATTGCATGTCGAAATGGATATTGAGGGATAACTTTTCTTCAAAAGAAATCCGAATGTAAGTGAATAACTGTGAATGTGATCTAGAGATCACGATAATAAAGTGCAGGTAATATGGTTGTTTAATGTTTCACTTCAAATGAGACGTGTTCACCGAATCCTTATGGAATTCAAGCTGAACATTCTGGATAGAAACGATACAGTTGATAGTGTATACTACCTTCGACACGTCGATTCTAGCCTTCAGATGCTCGTTCCTCATATTGGTATTGGTATTGGTATCAGCTTCCAGTGGGACCTTCTTCTGCATCGCATGAATACGACGGCTGCTCGGTGATGCCAAAGCTGACTGAAATCGATACATCAAAGTTTTTAGTGATCAATGAGATCGATCGGATCGAAGAAATGAAATGAATTACCGGATTAAAGTCAGAATAATAGCTGGATTGTGAGACTGCGATGAGTGGGGCTCGATAAGGTGTTGATGTTGACGACGGTAAAGCACACATCTTTCAAGATCCTTCAAACGCAGCCCAAAATAGTCCACAAAGTCTGTCTGGTCTCTAAATAGAAATATATGAGCGAACGAATTTCCTGGGGAATTCGAATTCGGAAACTTTCTTCCTAACGGTTCAATGGCTGCAATGAGTTGTTGCCGTAGAAGCCGAGTTAAGAGTTCAGAAGTTGGAAACCTTCAACACTTCCGAATATACAAATGCTTTGGGTTTCAAACTCATCAGTTTCATAATGATTATGTAAGGAATTTGGTCAGTTCTATTTGAACAGAATTNTGGTAGATCAAAGCACCTTTACACAGATAGATTTCCGTGCAGATTATGTCATGCAATTGAATTTCAAGGGATTGAATTCAATGTATACGATACTCCTTATCTCAAAGTATGCGAGTGGTATACTTCAATAGATGAGTGAATAGTTTACTAATGGCTAGCAAAATCCGCTCTACCGACATAACAAATTCAATATTTCAACAATGACTGGCTTTCAACAAATTAGATTCTTATATAACGTGAATGAACTGAATCATATAACCGCTAATCTAGATGCACAGAAAACATAAAACATCAAAATGTGCTAGAAAATGAGTGTAAATGAACAAATTTCAACAGCTTTCTGGGCTAAAGTTATTTTTATGGCCATAACATAATATCAGAATAATGAATATCAGATGTTGTTCGAATAGGCTTAGGCTTACGGCAAAACCAATAAAGACTGGGACTTAAAAGCAGTAAACACTGAACCAGAAATCATCAGTTTTGTGAGCCAGGACAACTACTGACTGAACTGAATTAGGGAACTTAATGCATTCATTGCTTTGTAAGTAACCTCATATAATAATTCTCATTTCATTTCCTATGCATTATAATAACAAGTTGAGAAGAATACGGATAAGTGTGCGGCAAGGAAAACACTCATTTTGTTGAGTAAATATATCACTAGTGAGATTATATCAACACTAACGCTGGGAATCGCATGGAATACATACTAAACATGTGAACGTCTGAATGAATCCAAACTCGATCCAATGATAGAATCAAATCCTATTAATATTTGATGCATGCTTGCCGAGGATTGATATTTTTTATGCGACCCGAGGCTGTCATTAAGATTAGCTTAAACTGACACGAAGTATTCATTTCTTAAATGAAACGCAACTTTTATAAAACTTCCGCCGTTCTGATATTCCTATTCAGTAATTGAATAAACGATTATGCATTCATATCTTAATCTATGCATTCATATGCTAAAGATTACAACTTAATCCTGGTTTCATAACTCAATCGCTCGGTGTGCATTGTATATAAGATTAAGATATAATTTCTGAATTGAAAACAATCTGATTTGATTGATTACATTATAACCACGGAGATGATTGACAAAAAACACTTTCAATGAATATATAAGCAGTGTTTTGATAGCCACTTCCTCTAAACATGGTTACTGGTGCTATCATGTTACGCAAGTTGTGTAGAAGATCATCTATTCGAATGCTCAACAAAGAACTATTTTAAGAAATCGTTGACGAATTATAATTTCTTGATTGCAACAAAGACTGAATTATGTTGAAGAAATTAGATAAGGAGAATAAGCGGATGCAAGTGTACATATCAGAGTGGGATTGAACACTGGAAAGGTGTTCATTTGCATAATGCACATTGATGAAACGAATACAAATGCTCATCGTTATTATATTTGATTTAATCAGCATTCAATAATCGTTAAAATTAGTTATTGCGTTAATAATAACAACATATTCCACGCAATGAATTGATAATTGTCATGATAAGCCCTAATGCCAGCATTTGCATTGACAATGTCCCATCACTGGTAGTGCTACCAATAGAATCGCATATCAAGATCGTTGATTTATTTGAACAATTAATGATAACATCCACAGGAAATGAAATTAACACGATTGGTTGGATAACATGGCGTATTCGATAACGCGGAGGACAGTAAAATTGTCAATTCGATCAATTCGCATAATTTGATTAAACATTTCGTCAACGACAAGGCAACTTTAATACTTCACACAAAAATAACAAATGAGTATTGGTCATATAAAAGCTTCTATTTATATGTAAGAATATTCATTATACGAATCATATCAACAGGCAAAATAACCTAAACTAAACCTTAAAGGCGTGTATTTTCAGCGAGCAATATCATAGTTTGTTGATAATGAGTTTAGGATTAAGCAAATCCTTAAGATTGCACACTGAGCGATTGCGTTTAGCGGATGAGATGAAAGATACGAATTTGTATTCGTAGTTAGGAGGGATTAGTTTGGTTGTAGTTGATAAGGATAAATAATATCCTCACTATATTGAGTATTAAGATGAAGGGATTTAGATAGAAAGGAAAGTTTTTTAGAATTTGCAAGCAAACTGAAGGGAGAGCAATTTAAAAGATAATCCTTCGAGAGCAAAATAAGATGCAAAAGATAAAACAGCATGATGGAAGATCAAAAATCTACGGATTTATTATGAGAACACTAAAATTTCTCAGTGCTAAACTGGTTGGTTGGATTCATTTGTGACTGAATAATCGTAATTGGAACGGTTATGAAATAATGAATATCAGCCAGACCTGAACGAGATACGCCACGTGTGCTTGCTTATGGATTTAGACTTTGAGGGTAAAACCGCAATCCATCATATTCGATACGAACAAATCAAAAATATTTTGCTAGCCAAAACAAGATGGTAAATTACAACGAATTTGATGATAAATTATTCGTGGTCATATTATGGCAACATTTAATCAATCCTCTTCTGCAATGCAAAACGGCTTATTACGGGAAGAGGCTTGCAATTACAATTAATAGCTTCATAGACGAGAAAAAAAAGAAAAATTGTAATTAAACAGCTTCAATGCTAGATGCTGACTGTCCGTATTGGATGATGATTTTGAAATAGCGTGAATATGCAAAGGATTTATCTTGCTTTCATTAATTGGAAAATATTCAATGCTGAATGGAATCGTTCGTGAAAAAACTGATGAAAAATGTGTGGAAAATACAAGCAGACATTGAAAGCTCCACACTAACTGGACTGAAAAACGAAATATTGTTAACTGAGAGCGAAAATTTCAATGATTTAAATAATAAATTCTGAAACGATAAAAGATAACGAAGAAATAGTTTTTTAGTGGAACACTAAAATTGTGGTGGATTAGAGCTGAAGATGTAAAGAGATAACGACTAGAGAATGCAAAAAGCAATTGCAATTAAAGAAGATTACTGCTTTTGTTTTGTTGTTTTTGTTGTTAAATGTAATCAATTGGATAATGTATATATTCTTCTCATTCGATGATCCATCGAGCTCAACCAATGTCATCATCGTATATGTTCAACAATGCAACAGGGTCAATCAACAAATCACATATGAACGCACCAGACCAGTACTAAATACGCTATGGACAAGTCCAATACAACAAACTATATGGACCAAGATGATATAATGCACACACGGAAAGTGCCTATATATCCGATTGGATATCCCATTTGGAGGTAAAACTTCTGCTGTGCTATTTATTGAGTGACACGAACAATTAGTAAACACCTAGTTGCTTGTCAGCAATAGCCGGATTAGAATGTGACCAGCCATAATATGGAGCTTTTGATCAAGCTTAACGACATTGAGAGATAAAAACTTGAAATCATGATAAGTTGTTAGTAATGATACAGAATAAAGGTGATATTTTGGTTCCTTGCTAGGTTTTTTCGTTGCCTGAGAGCAGCGTTTATGAAATTGAACGAAACAGATGGGATTACTTCTCGACCGAGAGATATTTCATGTCACTATAAGGGATACTTATTGAAAACGGAGATTTTAAATGATGGAGTTGATTTATGAGGCTATCAATTGATTGTAACATTTTCTGGTCGATCCGATTGTATGCGTCAAAATGGGCCTATCGGTTGCTGAAACTTATGCAGATTCATCCATTCATTCATAGGATGATAAGCAATCTCACAAAATTTAAGACGGTTGATTGAATCTGCAAGCATTTACTCTAGTGGTCAGTGAATTCAGATGCAGTGAATTCAATTCAGATGCAGTGAATTCAATTCAGATGCAGTGAATTTAATTCAGATGCAGTGAATTCAATTCAGATACATTGAATTCAATCCCTTGAAATGCAACTGTATGGCATAATCTGCATGGAAATCTATCTGTGTAAAGGTGCTTTGATCTACCAATTCTATTCAAATAGATCTGACCAAATTCCTTACATAATCATTATGAAACTGATGAGTTTGAAACTCAAAGCATTTGTATTTGAAACTCAAAGAAATTAATTGCACTACTAATCTTCTCAGTGCTATTAGGCCTGTTGAAATGCTATGCATCAGTTGATTTCATACAGTTTTTAATGCCCAGAACTTATTCAAAACCTTTCGATAGTGAGAAGTTTTGTTTTCATTGAAATTAAATTGCGACTGTTCGAATGAATTCTCATTCTTTTCCGATGTGTTCCAATTGCTCTCATAACTTTCTTCATTGCAAACACACTCTTAGTGTCGTTTTCTCATTCCTGTCTGACCTCATTACTCGTTACAGTTAAACTCTGCTATAATCGCTCTCATACCTTATATCATCAGAAACGTTTTCCTATTGTTCATTTCTCATTCTTTTCATCTCATTGTTTCAAACAAGTAAAGTCAAATTCTCATTACTCTCGAATCAGTCGTTAAAGTGTTGTTGAAGAATCTATCACTGTGATGGCATTACTTAATCTCAGCGAGCGAGATTTCCGTATTTCTTAACATCTGTTTCGTTCAGAATTTGGCGCGAGAACTCCTCTTCCATTTCTTAATTTTCATGCTAATTATTAAGGATTTATGATTTCTCTATTAATTTGAGGAGTGAAGTGTTTATTTCAACTCAACAATAAAATTCTTAAGAAATGGAGATTGTACATAGAAATTGATTGACTGTACTTAGAAGTTGTACATAGAAATCAAAAGGAGAGTGAATTGATTTATGAGGCTATCAATTGACTGTAATATTTTCGGGTCGATCCGATTGTACACATCAAAATGGACCTATCGGTTGCTGAATGTTTTGGGCAGATTCATTCATTCATTCATGGGATGATAAACTGTCTGCACAAAGTTTAAGATGGTTGATTGAATTTGCAAGTATTGTATTTACTGTGGTGGTCAGTGAATTCAGATGCTCTCGAAATCAATTGCATTACCAATCTTCACAGTGCAATTAGGCTTTTTTCTTGGAAGGATGCGAAATCCAAGAAGACACAGTGGATAATTTTTGCCAAGGAGAGAGCTGAAAATGATTATTCATTTACGAGAATCATTTGAGTCTCGTTTAATTTCTTAAGTTGTTCACTTTTCGAAATTCATTCGGCAGCTTCGAAAGTGTACGTTCAGAACTGAATGCAATCAAACCGAGATTATTTCGAATGAATTCTCATTCTTTTCCGATGTGTTTTAATCGCTCTCATAACTTTTTTCATTGCAAACACACTCTTGTTGTCATTTTCTCATTCCTGTCTGATCTCATTACTCGTTACAATTAAACTTTACTCTAACTACTCTCATACCTTTTATCATCAGAAGCATTCACCTAGTGCCTTTTTCTCATTCTTTCCATCTCATTGTTTCCAACACGTAAAGTCGAATTCTCATTCTATCTCATATACTCTCGAATCATTTGTTAAAGTATCTCATATACTCTCGAAGTTAAAGTGTTGTTGAAGAATCCATCGCTGTGATGGTATTATTTGACCTCAGCGAGCGAGATTTTCGTATTTCTTAACATCTGTTTCATTCAGAGTTTCCTCTTCGCGACAATTCCCCTTCTATTTTTTAAATTTTCATGCTGACTGATAAGAATTTATGATTTCTCCATTAATTTGAGGATTGGAGTGTTTATTTCAACTCAACGATATAATTCTTAAATATTTACTTCGATCGAAGTTTATTCAAGTTGATCTTATCTCAGTGGCTGCTTATCATCCGTTTATTCAGCAAAAATTCCAGTCTTGTGATATTGTTGGAACTGTATTTTCGTCCCCATCAATAATGCAAAATCATGATTTTGATCGTTATATGGCATCGAATGATAATCACTCATGGACACTCGTAAAATATACGAAATTACATGGAATGCGCTATGTTAGTTATTAATTCTCATCGATATCCTTCAGTATACACCCACTTAATTTTGATCCGCTTTCAGGAATGTTCTTATTGCACTGACTATATTCATATCTGTATTTCTTTGTACTTTATTTCAGGATGTTGCTGGAACTACAGGCGATTTGCGTGTCACGATCAATGCTCAGCGTCGAATTCTAACGATCACTATCGGAAGTTCGAATTTAGAGCAGTTCTCATTGAACATCAATCCACCACCAACTGTGAAAAGCAAAGGGACCGATGTGGTTTTTCACGTGATGTCTCAGGTTTCCACGTTTCCCATCATCCTCGTTTCACTTTTGTTTGATTAGCTGTTTGGATTTTGTTCATAATGATTTATTTTCATTAATGTTGCGGTTTATTTCAGAGTTCATCAGTGACACTCGCAAGATTCCGATTGAAATTTCTCTCAGAAGCTGACCATTCCAGTTTCGTGTCGATCATCTCTTGCTACTTCTTTGTACATAAAATAGCCGTACAGTCGCCTATGCCGCAGCCGTGTGCAGGAAATGCGACTGTGCCCGAACGATCTTCAATCTTGTCCGAACGATCGTCAAATTCTCCAGTTGCAATGGTGCCACCACCACGTTCAATGTTCTCTCCATACGTCGTTGAAAAACAAGGACAACAACAGCAACAGACTCAACAATCTCAATTCCAGGCTCAATTGTCTTCTCCATCTTCCGATGGGAATCTAGAATATAACCGTAAGAGACGAAATTTTCAGCAGTCATCTTACAGTCAACCAACGAAATTATTTTGTGAGGTATGAAGCGATGATTAATTGGTTCCTCATTGTCAATTTCATTTCATTTTGTTTCACTTCTTCTCAAAAAAAATTTTGTAATCTCTATTCCTTCGTCATATTAGATTTTCTTACAGTTAAAAAAATTAGAGCAAAGAACAAACTCTACCGTTCTCTCATTCTAGGTAGTAATGAATGAAATTTATGAATGCGATTAAGTTATTCGATGAGCTTTAGTTTGTGATTTTGCAGGATACGACGACTCATAACACTTCATTGGAATCGAACAGTGCATATTCATCGCAAGAGTCATCGCTGAATACATCGTCATCTCAGCCGAGTTTACAACATCCAGCCATACGACGTTGTATCATTTATGATCGAGTTTTTAATAAGTCCACGGTAAGTGCTCTTCAAAGTTTTTGTTTTACTGAATCAGCTGTTGGAATTACTGATAAAGTAGTTGTTAAAATTCGGTATATTTGTGGCTGTCATAAAGATATATGCTCCTAGAACTGAGTTTGTATTGGCCTTTGTTGATGAACTCTAATGCAGTCAGTGGGAAAATTTTTGCATTTTCACTTTCTGAACTGTGTCTATTCAGTTCTTAAGATTTAAGTTATTTTCTGTATTTTTTGCGAATTTATATTTGTAAGAAGATTATTTGTATTTGTTCACTTTGTGCAAGTAGTCATCTTGTTTTTAGAATACTAAAGAG